GGTCTTTGGTATTATTTTTTCCATGTTATTGTCAACATGAATGTTGGTTTCCTGTTATGACCAAAAAGTCTTAGTCGGTACTGATTGCAGTTCTTCCTCCATAATTTAAAAATATAATCTTGGAGGTCTATAAATTATTATAAAAATAACCTTTGGATCACCTTTTACACACACACAAAAAAAAAAAAGTGGGCAGAGTTAGTTTGAGTCTCACTAAGACAATTACTACCTCATTTCTATGTTGCAAACCATGTTGATTGTTTATGTAATATAATTTATTGAGAATTAAAGTCTTGGGGAATTTGGGGGTTTTATTAACTGTAACCTATAATCTGTTTTTTATAAAAAAGAAAATTTTCACTGTGTTTAGCGAATAATATACCAATAGTATAAATTCAATCTTTGGATTGAACTACTGAATTAAGTTTCCTATGACATTCTATTTTAGAATAGACACACCTCTACCATTTTTATCTTCTATTGCTCTTCCACAATGACTATCGTCAGCAGATTCTGAGCTACGTGGGTCTGCGGATATATTCTGTGGAGCAACTTCAAGCACTGATCCCTTCAGGAATGAAGCTCTGGTCAAACCCCAGCTCAATGGACGGGACTCGGACAGTCCAGAGATGTTTGATCTGTCACGACTCGCGCCCCCTGTAAGCACTACGACGCGTGTGTGTCAGACCCCTGAGGCCTTCCTTGGACCTACGGGGGCTTCGTTGGTCAATTTGGATGCACTGATACCTTCAACCCTGCCAAGCAAGGCGCACAACAACCCATTCCTCTCAGGTAACAGCTTTGAGATCACTTATGAGGACAGCATTCACAATCCAAGTTTTAGGTTTCTAACCAGCAAATGGCCCCACCCACAGGTCTGAGCGTGCCATCTTCCACCAACCCCTTCCACTGTGACCAGCCTCGCCTTACCCTCAATCAAATGCGTCCATCTTCGACATCTCCGCTGCCCTCGCACATGCTCTCCTACAGTCCGTCACTTCCACTCCCTCTCCATCACAGGGGGGCAGCCCTTCCCTCCTCGCACACCCAGCCTCCCACCAGACTTATGGAACTTCCCTCTAACCTGCCCCAACCCCTGCTCCCCATCTCTCCCCGGCCGAGACCCCAAGCACAGACACACAGCCACAATCCATTCCTCTGAGACTTCGTTTGCCCTTCTTATTTACACACTAGTCTAGACGACAACATGAGCCTGAATCAGAGTCACGATTCTGTTCAATATCTGCGCGTAAATGTGAAACGGATCAAACGTGGACTTGATGTATTTGTGTCTGTCCTAAGACACATCAGCTGCTACAGTATATGTAACCGAACCTGAAGCCCAGAGAGCACTGCAAATTAAAGACAAATCAGAAAGCTAATGAGGGGAGTATTTATTGCCAGAGCATTGTGTTAAACATTAATACCAGATGAACTGAAGTGTGGCGAAGATAACAATGCAAGACAGTAATATCGCTGCAGCAATTATGCTATGCCGCAATAACAACTCCATTGAGAAATTGCTCACTAAATTAACAGAATGTGTCCTATTTTTGCCATTTACATTAGAAATTGCTGCCTTCTAACAGTGAAGCAAATTTGAAGTGTCATTTTCTGAAAGCATGCTTTTCAAAATATGAGAACGAATGAACCAAAACTCGACGGGAAGGTAGAACAGCCATTTTAAAGGGGACTTATTCAAAGGATCTTTGTTTTGTTTTGTTTTGTTTTGTTTGTGTATGACGAAGGTTTATTCATTTTTTAATTCATATTTTGTTAATGTTACTTATTTTTAGGTGAACATTTTATGTAAAATTTCAGTTCGGAAGACAATGCCTCATTAAGAATTAAGTGTTCAAATTATGAAGGAAGTTAAATGATTTTCATTTAATAATGAATCCTATCTTCGGAGAATCATCAAAACGTATGAGTGGTGGGGCATTCATCGTATGACAAACTACTGCTGTACATTGTACTTCTGCAGTTGCAGCTCGTCGCCTTTAAATTGCGATCCACGAGGTGACCACAAGATGTCAGCGATGCCCGCGTTTACAGTTTTCAAGCCTGTGCTGCTTGAGGTGAAAATGAACTAAAACTTCATCAGTGCCTTTAATAGAATTGGTGTCTATGGTGAAAAATGTCGAAGTGATACACTTTGACTGAGAGATGCTTTGCCATTATGGCCACAGAGTAAACATGCAGTAAAATCTAATATTATTACGGTTATAACTTGCCGTCATGTTTTAGTTCAAGCCATTTTTATCTTCTCAATTGGCCTGGAAATGACACAACAAAGTGAGACTGGAAGTTGTCTTAAATTTAAAGATACGTATATGTACAGTACATGGGTTTCAAATTCAGCTCTCTCCTTCCTGTCTAGAGTTTGCACAGTTTCTTAGATTAAATAAAGACTACAAAATAGTCCACAAACATAAATGTGAGTATGAATGGTTGGTTGTTTGCAAGCGCCCTGTGAATGACTGGTGACCAGTTCAAGATTTACCCTGTCTCATGCCAGCATGTCCGCTGGGACGGCTGCAGCTCGCCTGCTACCCTCGCGAGGACAAGCAGCACAGAAAATAGACATAATAAATGTAACACAAACTATGATTGCAGCACACTTTAGCATAAGTTCACTCATCTTACAGTACATTAACCTTGAAAGTAAAAAATGGCAGCTCAGTCCAGTCGCTTAGTTTTAAATGACATTCACAGTAAATTGGGTTGCAATGTTATTTAGCCCCGCACAGCAATAAGGCCAGGAAACTCTGTTCCAAGAAACATCAAAAGCAGCCTGATGACCTCCCCTTTTCACATCACAAGGTTATTTTTAAGACTTCATCAACGGTTAGTGTAGAAAGTTGTTTTTTTATATTCCTATAGAACATGCAATAGGGTAGATTCATTCACCAGTGTCAACTTGCTAATATAATAAGTCCTGTCTTAATGTGATGTTGCACAACACTCACTACAGGAAAAATCGGAAATACTCTGCCAGGGTTACAAGCACGCATTCCTTTTTTCCTAAAATCTGGTTCTTATCGGAAAAAAAAAAATCAGATGTAGCCCTCAACAGCTGCAGCCTCAACCTTCAGATATTCCTGGTTGAACTGCATGCAAAAGTTCTATATTGTTTTGTTTAATGCAAAGAGTGAAGTGAACAGACAGCCAGGAATGACTGTGAGAACACTTGCAAGAGCTGATTCCAAATATTGTGAAATCATTACGCACATCAGTGAGCTGTCAAAGTACCACAACCATAATTGAATCAGGACTCAAAACAGAACTCTTGAGACTAAAATACGGGTGATATTGTGCTGAATACATCAGTGTAGTAGTTCTTATTCCATTTCTGTCTGCTTCTGTCCATCTCCATTAGTTCAAATTAGGCACCTGGTTCGCTTCTCTTGTTGAGGGCCAAATTCAAATGCTTTGTCTGGAGTCTCCCGATGTTTCGAAGGCCAAGCTATAGTCCAACCGAGCCAAAAGTTCTCATGATTACACTTCTCATGCATTGAAGCATGACAGGATATTTCCTAAATTTGGCATCGGTCTTTTGTCCCCTGGAGCTGTTGTTCCTGGCCCGCAATAAGATAACCCATCAAGTTTAAAGACACATTCGGCTTAAAGATCAGTGTGATCAATGTGGAAACAATTAGTCTGTGCACAGACTAATGCAATACACTACATGTATGGGCTTCTTTAGTCAAGTCCAGTTCAAAACTGTATCCTGTCTTAAGTGGTGCCCTGATTGGGGTGGATTGAATGTCTGTGCACATGTGGAGTAAAATGTTAATGGAACACATCAGGGGCGCAATGAGGGTACACAGTATGTTTCTAAAATGAATGTAGGCTGCTGTATTCCATGGCGCATTTTAATTGCCCTTTTTCTGTTTTTCTTGGGGCAGCATGGTGGCCTAGTGTCTGCAGTTCGGAGGTTTGGGTTTGTATCTCAGCTCCGGTCCTTCTCTGTGGAGTTGGCATGTTCTCTCCGTGCTTGTGTGGGTTTATTTACGGTAGTCCAGCCCCAAACCATACTTTGTCAGTGTGCCTTTAGGTTAATTAAAGACTCCAAATTGTCCATCAGACTGAATGTGAGTGTGGATGATGGTTCGTCTACATGTGCACTGGGAATGACTGCCAACCAATCCTGGGTGAACGCCACCTCTCGCCCAAATTCAGCTAGGATATGCTGCAGCTTACAGATAGAAAATGGATAGATGGAAGTTTAATGCTAGAGCTGTGAGAAAATGCTATACTTCAGAGTGCAGAAACCAGATGAATGATTAATACAGCTTTCGCATTGTGATATAATACTGAGAAATATAAAACACCAAATTATTCCAAATCAGTTCTTTTTTGGCCCTTGACAGAGCCTTCAATGGCCTGGTGACTGCAGTTTGCTGCCTGCCTCTACCTAATGTCCATCACGTGAAATGAAAGGCTAAATGATTGATCCTTGCAATGCATTGCCCCCAGATTGTGGAATGCACTTTTTTTAAATTGGCTAAGTGCTGTCCTTTCAATAGCTTTTTTTTAAAAGTACTGTAGTTACAAACAGATTTCTTTAGGCTGGCATTCCATTAAATCTACCAGTATATTATTTTTTATTTATTTTAGTTGTACATAATTTTTTTTGTTGTATTCACTTGTTGCCTCAGTCGTATTTTAACATTTTTCAGAAAACAAAAACATTTTTAGTAAGGACATTGTTATTTCTTACTGATTTGGTAACAGTAAATTAAAACGGACTTTCACATTTATGGCATTAGGGTAACAATATGTATGACTGTATTCTATAACTATGTGAATAATTTTGTAAGTCTTCCTTGGAAAAAGTGCGACACAAAATGAACAAGTCTCAAATTTTGTGGTCCACACACATAAAAGTGGGCGTTCACTGTGACGCCACGTTTTCTAAGACTGACAAGAGTAATCGCGAATCCGATGTCTTATTTTCTCGACGATTAGCCAATCAGAGCATGAGTGTGATTGTTTGCGGAAAACATTGCACAACGGGCTTGCAGCGTACGTCTGAACGAGCCATTCTTGTAAAAAAATTAAAAAATAAATACCCCTTAGACTACCACTACTCGAAATAAACACACCGAAGTGTTTCTTTGGGTGAAACAGTTTAGAAATATAAGTTTATGACACTTTTGTAAACTGTTCGTAGTAGCCCGTAATTTCTAATTTACGCGTGGAGGTAAGCATGGAATGGCCAGTCGAGGAGTTCGAAGTGAATGTGAAGCCGCCAAAGCGCCTCCGCATCGTGCAAAATGCAGCAGAAACAGCACTGGAAGGGCAGGAGAAGCGCCAGGGTGCAGTTGACGTGGTGGGTGACAACACGCTTGACGTGACTGTGACACTGTCCAAACAGGTGCTGCCTGTTTCCAACGAAAATGTTTTGGAGGGGGAAGGAGGTTATTAAATTAGACCTTACGTGTGTTATTCATGAAAAGCCATAACGTACAAGCAGTGTTCGCTATGTTACTTTAAAAAAAGTAAAAATTATCAATTATTTATTGTATTTTATCTATAGTGTACAGTATGTTTGTAATAGCTCATATGAGCATACATTTGAATGCATGATCTCCTCATATTGCTACACAGAGTATACACAACAAATTGATGGACAACATGATTTGCCTTTGCCGGCCACATAAAATGATGTGGTGGGCCAAATCTGTCTCAAGGGCCTTGAGTTGGATACCCGTGTTCTCCATACTGTGCAATATTTACTTCCTCTATTTTAGTGTTTACCTTGTCTACCTCAAACTCTTCAGCTCATTCAAGACGTACACTGGCGCGACAGCCTAACATTCCAAAAATTCCCAATTTTTCCTCAAACAATTCCCTAATTAAGCAGTATTTTATATATTTACATTTTCCTTCTACCTTTTTTTAACCAATTAAAATAATTGCTGCTTCAAAACATTCAGCTCATGAACAACATTTTGGGAAGTATTTATCACATTGTCAAAATTCTTAAATTTCCAAAACACCACAGAAATTTCCAAATTTAAGAATGTAACATTTTACATAACTGCATCCTCAACAATTTCATTTTTTTTCCAATGGAGTTGATGTAAGAAGCCAATGAACCATTGGTTTGTTTGTTCATTTTCTATCAAACAATGGTGTTAATATAAAAAGTAGACCATAATTTTCACATTTCAATGCATTCTGTGGTCATTTACTGCTGGATTAATGAGAATATTTTGTGTGTCTCAGAGTATCATCATGCCTGTGTATAATGCCTCCTGTTGGCTAGATGAGTGTCTGCAAGCAATATTGGACCAAGATTTCACCGGCACTATGGAACTATCCGTTTTTGACGACGCCAGCACCGTATGTTTGTTTTATTCACATTTGCACATATGTGCTTTGTCTTCTTGAATATGTTGTAGAATCTCAGTATGCACCCATCTTCTCTCTAATGAAAAAAATCCTCACTGTATTATAGTACCACATACATTTTCTTCATCTCTAGCTACAGTAGCCATCTAGTTATATATCTTGATATCTACAGTATGTATCCATGTCTTTGTCCTAGGATAACTCCAGAAAGGTGGTGGAGACTTGGAGGGAGAGGTTGGAGGGAAGGGACATCTCACTGGTGTTCAGTGGCCATAACTCGGACCAACCAAGAGGGGGTCTGTTCTGTTGTGATGAGCATTGAGTCCTTTTCTTAGATGCAATTTTTTTTGCTGAAAAATGCATTTTTTTTAAGAGCCAGTATTTCTTCTTGGGGGGCCTCCACGCTGGGAAGTGTGGCGGCTGTCACTCATCGTGGATTAGCGCCCTTTGGGTGCTTTTTTTCTTCAAATGGTTTCTCTGTGCCTTGCCATGCCTTTTTTACAAAATTTGTATGCGCGTGCGTCCGTGCTTGCGAGCATAGGCATGCCTGTGGGGATATAATCTGTATGTTAGGGGACGGGGGTTCTGTTTTAACGTTGTAATTCTGAATTTTTTAATTGCATGGCACTTCGAGTTGCATCTTTATGTCTGAAAAGTGCTATATAAATAAAGTGCAATTGATTGATAATATTCTAATCTGTGTCTCACATGCTCATTCAATGTCAAAGATCACAAATGGAAATCTAAAGAATCTTTGTTGTTGTTTTTGGGGTTTTTTTCAGTGGGATATGCTAAAAATAAGGCCGTGGCGCAGAGCTGTGGAAAATACTTGTGCTTCCAGGATGCGGTAAGTGAGTGTGCAGTCTTATGTTAGTTCTATTAAAACGTCATTTGTCTTCTGAGGCCCGATTTGAAAAATCTATAATGGAAAGGCCATCTGGAGCCTTCTGTCACTAATCAAATGAAGTTGACCTCATCACTCCGTTGTAGTCTTGCTTTTAAACTGCATGTAAAGACTTTTCTTCCTTCCAGTGGAGGGTGTCCCTCAGAAAAGCAATGCCTGACAGTCCAATTACATTCTCATAAAACAACCTACTTGCTCAATTAGCTCTCTTGTAATGGTCTCTGCTCGACACAGTTCAAGTCCTCCGGCAAAGTCCAGAAGTAGATGAAGTAGAAGGCTTTCTTTTAGACATTGTCCAGCACATGTTAAATGTTGTTACAAGTGTGATCTTTTCCTCCCACATGCCTGATTACTTACATTAAGAGAAAATCAGTTCCAGATGAGGAGATGGGGTTGGGGGGGAGTGGGTGCTGCTCAGAATTCTTCATGTTGGGTATTTGTTCTCTTAGAGCTCATAATCTTTAATATGATTTATTATGAGCATTCTCTTGAAAAGCCTCCGTAGGCTCCAACAGAGATCACACTCTATTATGTTTGCATCTTGAGTCACGTTTGATATGTATAGTGAATGACTGACAGTGTGTGTGTGTTGCAGGATGACATCATGTTGCCCCAAAGAGTTCGGCTGCAGTACGAGGCGTCTGTCCTCCACTCAAGCTCTGTAAGTTTTTCTAGACGTGTTTTGTCATTGCCTTGCTTCCCTTTTCCTCACCCCACCTTTTCTTTTGAACTGTCTTTTCACTTTCTGTCGTCTGTCCTTCACTCCGCTCCCTCAGCCAGAAGGTGTCAGTTTTATCTGGATCCATGTGTTTTAGAGACCTGTGTGCGGAAAGTGAATCAAATCCAAATAGTATGTATGAGTAATCCATCCATCCATCCATCCATCCATTTTCAACTCCACTTATCTTGAAGAGGGTTGCGGGCAGTTGCCAGAGTCTGTCCCAGCTGATTACGGGCGAAGGCACTATACCCGCTGAACTGGTCGGCAGTCAGTCGCAGGGCACATATAGAGATAAACGACCAATCACACCTAAATTCACACCGTCACTGAGTGGGAACTGATCCCACACTGCCCGCGCACAAGTCCGGCATGTGTACCACTACACCATGAGCGACCAAATCTTAGTAATACAGTATTAGCAAAATGTGAGCGACTGAGTTGGCATGCCAATAATGTAGGGGTGCAGAGCAGTGTGAGTATCCGGTGTTGACGTATTGTGGCCCTCCTCTGGGTCAAGGGTTGGGGGTCATGTGTGTGAGGGTAGTGAAGGAGGCAGCACAGAGACAGCAGGCCTGCCGCCCTGCACAAACAGCCTGTCCCTTTCTTTTACACCTATCTTTTTTTTTCACTTGACAGCTCAGAGTCAAAATGCAAAACATCTTTCATTTTTAATTTTGTCAAGAGCCTCGGCTTTCCCATGTGCTTATTATTGACCATAGAGTTTGGGTCAATATTGTGGCAAAAAAAAAAAAAAAAAAAAACTTTAACCAAAGTATTCTGATTATCAAACCGCAACTCCGTTGGATTCCAACTGCTGCAAAGGTCAATGTACATATATTGAAAAAAAAAAATCTAAACATGTATTCACATTTTAAGACTGGTATAGAATTTAAAAAAAAAAGTGAGATGATTTCATGGATTCAAGCCAGAGTGCTGTTTTTTCCTTGTTAAAAGGAATTTAATAAAAATTGTTTTTTTGTGAGATTCTTTGCTAACAACAAACTAAGATGCACCACACTTAGAACGCTTAACTTTCCTGGCAGAAGTAAACCTGTTGTAGGCAGGCTTTAGATTAATGTGTTTTTTTAATTTATATTTTTATCACAAGAAACAATATTTCTAAATGTTGAAAAAGACATTTGTCTTCAATGTTCCCTTAGATTATGTTTTGCCCTTTTTCAGTCACGAGGCACTTCACCATCCTCCGCTGGCTGTGCTTCCTGTGTTCAATGTACCAATTCTGTTCCAGTAATCATTTCAAATGTTTTCAATGATTCTTTGAAAACTATGTTGACCCTCTCATGAATGTGTGTTTCCATTATAGTTGATAGGCTGTAAAGTTCGGAGGCTTCCAGAGGGATCCACGCAACGCTACACCCGCTGGATCAACACAATCACTCAAGATCAACTCCTCACGCAAGTAAACACTGCGAACTCACTGCGCTCTGTTTGGAGGGGCCTTTCAAAGGGGTCACGTGGCAGGCTGAGAGCAGGTCAGTTTTAAACAGGATACGTACCTGCCCCTTGCCGTTTCCACGGAAATGTGCCAGCGGACTGGACGTAAACTATAGAATCGCTGGCGACCTTTCTGTCGCTCGCAATCCCACCAGAGGAAGCGCCTCATGCCGCCATCTGTCAATAGTGGAAAGTTTCGGTAGTGGAACTGATAGTTTTGCAAACAAAACGGCACTGTGAGTTTATTGAGCAAACAGATTGTCTTCCATCTGCAGGGGACATCTGGGTATGCTTATAGTGCTGCAACAGTACATGACGTTCACATCCACACTGCCAAAATATTAAACTTTCATCCAGATGGTGTGTCTATCTCTTGAGAAGTAAGGAGCAAATGCAGTGAGACAATTGAACAAAACTGTTGGGGACAACCAATCCCCCCACTAATTAGACATCAGGTATTTCAAGAGGAAAACAGCTTCCTAAAACTGGACGTTGTCCAACATCATCCAAAAATTAAAATAGTGGTTCCCGGACAATATGAGTCATTGGTAGTGTCGTGGTTCACAGGCTTGATTTTCGTGCAGTCCTTGCGATCACATCCCGCTCAATGAGCAGAGGCGTGAATGGTTGGTTGCCTCCATACGTGCCCCGTGACGGACTGGCAATCAACGTGCCGTCCGCCGTCTGGCCAAGGTCAGCTGACGTCAACTCCAGCTCCCCACCGCCAATGAGCCTGAATAGAAAATAGACGGATAAAGTTCTGATGATTGATTCAAGAGCTGGAGTTACACTGCAAACAATCTGACCTAAAGCTCAGGAAGAAAGATGGTAACTACTATCTGACTCTGTAAATACGATTAGAGGCATGAACAATAAGCTTTGACCGTCAATTAATTGGTGAAACCTGACTCTCTCTCTCTCTCTCTCTCTCTCTCTCTCTCTCTCTCTCTCTCTCTCTCTCTCTCTCTCTCTCTGTGAAGTTTTTTTTTCAAAAATTACCTTTGAGAAAATTAGCATGTGCTATCGTTGTGTGTACTTATCAAAATGTACCAAATATTTACGAGGCAGAAAACCGAAAAGTTGAAACATAAATACAGCTACATGTATAATAAGCATTCAGGATACGGTATTTCAATTTATGAAGCGGTGGAATGTAGCATTAGAACTGCTGTTGCTGTCCGAGCAAAACACACTGTCACCACAGCAACAGGTCTCTTTTGCTCTCTTTCTCACACACACACACGCACGCACACACACACACAAACACACACAGAGTCTGTATAGTGCCTTACCAGACATAGAAGGCTCTTTATATGACATTACAGTTCATGAGGATGTGATTGTTCCTCTCCTCTCTAGCTTTAAAACAGCTCATTTTCCAGTGTACTTCTCTTTCTCCACATTCTGCGTCTTTGCCTCCACTTGTCGGGTCAAGAAGCAGAGCCTAGGTAGACGTAAAGCAGATTTACTCAGGGTGGTGCTTGCTTAACTTGATCCAGAGCAGGACTCTTGAGTGTTCATCTGCTGGACATTAGCTATGGTTATCAATAACCTTCCCAACCCTCCTCACTAGTCGCATCTTCGTTCTCATGCTTTCCCACATTCTGATTCATCCGATTCATGCAGTTGGCCTGCGCTTACACCTGCAAAGTGTTGAGATATTGCAACAGAGAGGACACATGGATGTAGGTGGGATGCACATAAACACACACATGCTCATATTTAACAGATTCGTCAAGCTGACTCTGAGGTTTTCGCAATGTTTTTCATCAGTGAGCCTTTGAGTCATGCAATTGTGCGTGCATAAAGGTTAAGTGCACACATTCACACATCATTTGAAATATAGCGAGGCAACTGAGGAAAACAGGAGATTAACCTGAAATCACCCTCACACACACACACACACACACACACACACACACACACACACACACACACACACACACGAGGCACGCGTAAGGAAGGCTTGGAGCAGCATTGAGGTGGGGGTCTGTGAAGATGTAAATACACAGCTCATAATCGCTTTCTGGTGTGTTGAGGAGATGCAGCCAAAGAGAAGAAGAAGAAGCCAAAACAATGGCATTAATCTGTGTTTCAAATCTTGCTTGGGAGCACACTTTTTGCAAAGTTGAAAATCAACCTCTGCGTGTGACTTACTGATGGGACTTTTTGAGGCAGACATATTTCATAATTTCACCTGAAACTAAACGGTTGACAAACACACACAATAAGGATAATACTGGTGTTGCAAAGGTGACCCCTAGATCACCTGCTTGAGCCTAAAATATTGGTTGGACCAGCCTCATGCTGTGGTATTCTTTGTGTTGTTGACATGACTGTGCTGAGTTGAGGGTTGCGCTGCTCTCCGATTTCAACAGTTTATTTTAAACCATTATCCGTTTAGTCGTCAGTGGCTGTCCACCATCAAGCAAACTTGACCGCAATCAGTTTTTTGTTGATTTTGGATTTAGCAGTCACTTGAATATAAACTACCGATCATAAATCTAAAGGCAGCCCAAGATCCAAACAAGTTCCCAATTCCTTCCTCCTGAATGATCTTTAATGGGATGATCTTTAGTCACCGAGTGTGTTGTGGTTCACTCGCCTGACTTAAGTGCAGGCACAGTAGGTTCGTTCACTTCCCCCTGAGTGAGAGTGTGATTTTTTTTTGCCTGTCTTCAGTATGTGTCCAGTGAATGACTGTCAATCAGCTCCTGAAGTATAATTCTGAGTTCCCAGCAGTATTTTGACAGACAGGATTTTTTTCTACCTACCATTCTCTGAACCACTTAAACTGCATATGTGCTGGTGTTATGCTAAGACATTCTTACACCTTAGGTATATACATCCCATGGACCGACAGTCATCATGCCGACTTGGTTCTGCTCAAGAGACTGGTTCTCAACTGTTGGATGGTTCAGCGAGGAGAGCAAGGTAAGGCACCCCAGCGAGTACTGTTTTCATTGCCCGGTTGGATTTTTTGGTACTTAGTAGGATTATTGAAAAACAGTTAATGGAATTCCATGGAAATTTGTGGAGGGAAAGAACCCATTAAATCTCACTGCGAGTCGGAATTGAAATGCATGTCGTAAAATGTGTTGTCTCTTTTGATCGTTTGCCTGACGTTGATTTCTTCAACCCCAAAATACAAACTGTAAACTCTTAATGTCAGAAAGTAGCCGGCTTGCTAATACAGACAAACAAAGGTCGACATTTTTTGCATCAACACGAAGCACGACTCTTTTTATTCGGGTCGTTGGTTGTTATCATGCACTTCACATCCACCCGTCTCTGCCTCCAGGGAGTCCCTGAGGACTTGATCTTCTTTTACCAGAGTCTTCGTCAAGGAGGACTTGTGATCAGAGTTGACCACTGCCTTGTGGTGTACCGTTACCACGAGAAGGCCACCACACACTCCGTGAAAGAGTCAGTTTCAGCCCGCACCTCCTCCCCCACTACTCGTGCTGGACATACTGTTGATCTTCCACCTACTCACAGCTGCCCATCGCCATCCCGGATTCCATCAGCTCAACCCACACATGCAATCCAACATTTTTGCCTAGAATATGTTCAGAAAAGTCCCAATTTCTCTCTCCTTTCACTTTTCTTGATGTGCTTCTTACTATGTCTCACGTGTACCTCGTACTTCACCAATGCTCGCTCCTCTCTGTCATCGTCTATTATCCATCTTATTTTGGGAAGCCTATTTCAAGCTTGCCTACTTTCCACCCAACCCCCACAACTCCTTGACACTGCCTCCCCGTTCGCTACTTCCGTTGACAAGTGAAAGCATCATCTTCCACAACCTTGCGCACATCAAGTAATTATAGCCCACGTTTGTGAGGTGTGAAATGCTTTGAAAAAAAAAAAAACTTAAGATGGTGACAAAGGCGCACCGAGATGATTGGCTAAGCACACGAAGACGGGAATTTATGAACGTGATTGCGTGTGCGTTATGGGAAATCTGTGAGCGTGTTGATGAGCCGGGTTCAAGGGACACGGATGTAGATACTTAGATTTATACCTCCTCCGTTTTCAGGGAAACCATTTGGAACCTGCGAGTTGGATTTCTTCAGGAGAGAGTCATTAGCCAATGGGAAAGCTTCACCATATGGAATGCCGGGAAACAGGGCCGTAAGCTGTACCGCTGCCTTAACGCCACTAATCAGAAGAAAGTATGTCGTCATATATATATGGCAAGAATAGAACAGATTCATGGATGGAGTTGTGTACTATTGGGAGTTGTGTTGGTATTCGTGGGCACCACCAGTACTCTATTCATGGCTGTGATGTCATTTTTTTTTTAAGGTCAAAGCTTTCTGTGATGTGGACAAGAATAAGATAAAGAAGGGTTTTTACACATATGAGGACTCCAAGGTGAGGTTATCGGTAACTAAGCAATTAATGTCTGTGCATCGAGAGTTACCATGGATCTGTCTTTTGTTGCGCTCTGTTTAGGAACGACCAAAGCCAAAAATCCCAGTCCTGCACTACAAAGATGCGTCGGCCCCTTTTATCATCTGTGTCAAACTGGTGAGCTGAAAGTGTTTTTGTGTGTTTGCTGTTTCTGACCCCCCAGCTCTGCAATCTGAGTTAACGACATAATGAGCGAGGGCGTGTGCCCGGCACAGGACGTTAGCACACGGGAGGCCGGCAGGAAATGGGTAGAGACAGCAGCCTGATCTTTGAACACATGGCGCTTGGATCAACATCAATAGATCTGCTCATTTTCAAATTGTTGTCAAAATCTATTTGGTCATATCTTGAAACCATGTCATGTAAATTCCTTTTTATTGTGTTTCTTTAGCGTGGCCTTATAAAATGCACACAGATGCAAAAAACATATTAATAATAATAAATAAATGGATGAATAAACATTCAGGCTGCCAAATGACAAATTGTGTCCTTATCACCCAGATTTAGACATCAAATCTACGCTGACCCCATCAGCAGGCCATGCCAATTGGTCAATTATGGGAATTAGATATGGAGTCGGTGTAATTTTCTCTTAAAAACACCTGGACTCGATCCCATGTTTGTCAGCCAAATGCCACATTGCTCAAAGCAACAATAGGATATCTTTGAACTGTGCTGACAAGCCAAGGTGAAACTTGATTTGTTGAAGTCAGAAGCTTATTCGTGTGGTTGTACATTTTTTGCACATCCAAAAACTTCATTGAGAACTCTGAAGGAAGCCACCGAGATAGTTGCTGAAAAATACCATTACGCGTCTAATGCGGTTTTGAAGAAGCATTTTGCGTTGTCTTTCTCTCGTGCTCTCCTTGTGCTTTTCCACTCATATGCAATGTTTCGGATGTGTTTAGGACATGACGGCTGGCGTTCTAGAGGAAAACCTCAACTCATTACAGATGAAAGAAGGAATCGACTTCTTCCATTTCAACTGACTGACCGCGGCTGGTACATCACTGTTAGACATATTAAATCACAGGAGTAGATTTAAAACTCACGCACACTCTTCCATTCATTTTTTTCGAGGCTAATCCTAACTCATCCCAAAGTATAAAGAAGCTTATGTCTATCTGAGCTAAATGAGCCTGAGAAGCGGTATACACAAGGCTGCACATCCATGCTCACATTCAAAGTACGGCCAATTTAGAGTCTTCATTGAACATAACGTGCCTGTATGTGCATGTTGCGTTTTTTTTTTTTAACTGGTATGTGACTACTGAACAATTATAGGGCCGGGCGATTTTCCATTTTACCTCTTCATTCATATTTATTAGTCAGAATTATACATGTACACACACACACACACACACACACATATACATACAAACCCAATGTACATTATAAATCAACCCCAAAGGTTCGTTATTGTATTTCATTATTTTTTGTCACCCATAATAACCTTGACTACTCTGACATATGGACCAGCTGAGCCGTGCAGTTTGAGGGCTTATTGTACTGGAAGATGTTAAATTGTCCATCATTATCAGAAGTGCTGATCCCCCCAAGGGTTCCGGGCATGCTGGAGCCTATCCCAGCTGTCGCTGGGCAGTAATTTTGAATTTTATTCTATTCACGATTCTATTTATGTACAGTACATGCTTTGACAAAAGGAATGTTTTCTAACCGGGAGTGCTTTTTTTCAAACATGATCTGTAAAGAATAAAATATTTATCATCATTATTGTTTCCATAAAAGTTAATGCAAGTTAGTGCTGGTTGGAGGCAGAGGGGAGGAGGAAGCTCGTGCTGGGGGAAGAAAAAAAAAACTTTCAAAGGTTTCTTGGTATCAGGAGAAATTAAGGCCATATCGCACAGCCCCTTATTAAATTCTTTCTGTCTGTCAGCCGGGGAAATGGCAGGCGTAAGCACTAACACTGGAAATAGCTTTGTGTGAGCAGACTGGAAACATCAGTGCAACATCATGATAAGGCTGAATAAGTGTAACATTATGTTTTTACATGGTTTATGTGCATAATGACGTCTTTTTGGACTATCTGCTTCTTACAAACTTGCAGTGATGAGACCCGTTTTGAGTAAATGTGCACACCAAATTTGTGTGACTTTTGGACAGGAGCATGCCAGCGTTTGCAGTCTGTGCATTTAACGAATCTCGCTTGCTTCCCGACTTACTGCACATTTCATCCACATACAAAATGTATGCTGTGTCCATGGTGGCGCTCTTCATGGCAAGAAGCGCTTCACCTGGGACCCTCCAGAGCCATTCCTACATATTTAGCTTAGTGGACTAGAAACATTTTCTTCATAGATGACATGATGAGTACAGCTGTAATTTGTTAGTTTCGAAGGAATCAAAGGTTTGATCTGCGCACTTGAACTTTTTAATGCTAGAAAAAAAAATGGGAGGGAGTGCGTGTACCGTCAGAACATTGAACTTACAATGGGTGTGGCCTCCCTCTCTGATGCAACGGCGCGGACACATCTGCTACAAACATGGACACACAGCCTGTGCTTGTTTAGCATTCTCCAAGACTCCTATGAAACAATATTCTCTTCCAAGAGAGCGCAGATCGGACACGTAAACCCTCGGAGCAAGTTTATCTTACCTCACAGAGCGTGAAACGTTTGCTGCCTGCAGCCAAACAGGCCTTTAGCAACAAATCTCCTTCAGTGTTCCTGTCTTTCTGTAAATGTGCGACACTCTGCAACTTGGAAGGAGGCAGCAGGGGCCACACTGCAGCATTGTGTTCAATGAATAGGCACAACTGTGTGGACCTGATAGTGCTTTTAGTTTTCGGTAAGATCGTAGTCACGTTTAGCCAAGCACTCGTGGGAAGTAAGCATTGACAGTTAGGTAAATGAAACAAGATGTGATTGTGGGTCTGTGAATGCCTGGCAAAGCAGTTCCAGGGAGGGTAACTCAGAATTTGGTGACGTTCAGGCTGCCATCCACCACAATGGATTTTCCCCCTGCGTGTGTTCAAAATTTATATCTACAATGGTGTCAGCTTGTTGAAATACATTTGAGCCCATGACAATAGAAGATACTGTGCACAAAATGGCTGTAATCTCGAAATGGCAAATGTCCCATGTTTATGAAAGCGTTTAAATGTTTTTGTATGGAAGCAAATTCATCCAAATCCGAATACTGGACTTGATTGGATGTGTTTTCTACGCATATGTACCATCATGCTTTTGTGATTAGATTTTCGGCATGATTGTTTATCTTCTCCGTGTTGTTTTCAATTAGTTGATTCATTTTGTGGTCTCTCATCAAAATAGTCAAACAATGACTTGAAAAAAAAATCTGAAAATGTTTACCACTAATAGTTCTGAGCAAATGTTGCCTCCTTTGAATCTGTGTCACTGAGCCAGTTCTCATCTTTGCTCCGGGATGATGCATTTCACCATCTGCAGGATGGATTGCTACAGAACGTTTGTAGAGGCTTCATGTGATTGGCTGAACTCACTTTTTTTTAGCTCGTACCAGTATGGCAGACGTGGTTAACGTTCCAAACATCCGTGTCCCCCTCTTCTGTAGCGTTGTGCCATAAATAATGCATTTTTCTTTATTACTCAACTGATAGAAGTCAGTAGAGGAATGGAACTTGGTGCTCATTTGAAACAAGTGTGTTTCTATTTTTCTCAGCCTAAACTTTTTATTGCTTCCCCAATGCTGACGTTTTTTTTTTTTCCACAAGAAGATGATGGAAAGAAAAGCAAGGGTGTGGCAAGAAGGAAATGTGCTAATAAATAACAACAGTGGAGGAGAAAGAGGCTCCCACGTGTTTACATCTCAGCATGGGGCTGTTTGCTAAAGTGAGAAGACACGTTTTTTGAGGGGAGAGCGATGGCTACCAAAGAATGGATCGCAACAACAAAGTAGAGTGTATGGAGTACAGTGGCACCTCTACTTACGAAATTCATTGGTTCTGGAAGAAATTTCTTAACTAGAAAATTTTGTAAGTAGAGACGTGTTTTCCATGGAAATGCCCTAATCCGTTCCAAGCCCCCACAAAATTCAGACATAAACGTTTTCTAAAGCAAAAAAATGCATCAAAATATGTAACAAATACATGTTTCAATGAGATTATTTCACGATAAATGAAAGTTGAGCATAATGTAAAAAAAAAAAAAAAAAGAATTAAAATGATGGTCATTTAACTTATAACTGCGTCCTCGTCGTTTTTTGCCCTCTTTAGTTCATGTTCTCTCTCAGAAGTGGTTTTTGCCTGACGTTTTGTAAAGAGCTGATACAAAGACGTTTGCTTCTGTCGGCTTTTAACAATCCTTTGAAAATGTCCAAGGCAAACATCAGCAGAGTGAGCGATCGCCCGACTTGTGAACACTTTTTTTGGGTGATTCACATTTTCGTAAAAGTATCGGAACACTTCATGGCCCGAGGGGCGAATGACGAGAACGCTACATAGACACATATCTACCTATCTATCTACACACATAGACACATATGGTGGAGGTCCCTCTTAGCCAATGGGATGCCAGGAAGAGGTTCGATAATAGCCAATGGCAGAAAAGCTATAAGTACGGTACTGTATGTTGCGTTCAGGAACCTCGGAGCTGCAAGTAGTTTTTTTACCTTTTGTATCTTGAAATTTCTTTCGGAACAAGAGGCAATGTTTTCCTGTTGAGGCATTTCATAACTTGAAAATTTCGTATGAAGAGACATTCATAAGTAGAGGTTCCA